GTATAGCATCCTTCTTGATGCACAGGAATAGAAAGTGAGTGAATGGTGAATAAACCCCTCCTCCGGTTACCAAACTACGCCGTAAAGCAGGCTGATGTGTGACGGGAGCCTGGAATGCATCCAAGTGGCTCTGCTCTGGTGTTTTCTGATGTCGCCTTGACTGATCAGAAAAGCCACCTGAAAAAACTAAGACCTCTTCCAGTAATACAGAAACACACCTGCTTGTGAGCCACCAAGATTTGTCTCCTGCTGCATAACTTAATCTTGCATTTTTAAAGCCATCTTGTTTCCCCACGAATGCTCACACAAAGCTGGCAGCTGACGTCTTGGGTACACCCACCGGTCCACCTCTAATGGCTGGGTTTTGCCCCGATACTTGTCGCTTGTCACCTCAGAGTAGTTATCACACAACAACAGACTTGTTCAGTTACAAATGGCTGTCGAGAGCCTGGGAGGCCCCCTCACTCTTGAGCCTACCCTAATCTTGAATTGTTCACAACAAGTTTCAATGACCTTTGGGACAATCAGTCACTTTGCTCTATCCCTGACTCTTAAGATCCAGAGTCATGCTTTTCAAGGCTTTCTCGTATTCCCCAAGCAGAAAGTGTCAAGCAAATGGATCCAATTATAAATTCTCACTCCTTTTTAAATTTCCAAACCTCTTAAAATCCAGAAGAATAAAAGCAGCCTGAGGGGTGCTACCTGCAGGAGCATTTGATCTCTTCAAATCCTCCTAAGAACATGCATCCCATGCAAGACCCTGAGTCCATTAAAGACCCTCTTCAGGCCTTGAGAGATGGCTTGGTGGTTAGAGCACGGTCTGCTCTTCCAGAGCACTTGGGTTTGGTTCCCAGCACCACATACAGCTCACAGCCATCTGTAGCTCTAGTTCCGGGAGATCCAATGCTCTATTCTGGCCTCCATGGACACCAGACATGCTTGTGGTGCGCAGACATATGTGCAGGGGAAATACTCATATGTTTAAAAGAAATTTTAATTAATGCTACATGTCCCAACTCACAACACTTTAACCACATTTATTTCTCAGTCAGGTATCTGGCATTTGAGTCCATGGGCTTATAGGGGAAAAATATCATTTTATTTAAACAGATCTTCAGGCTTCATAGTGTTGTTAAAAAGTCTATTTCATACACACTATCTTCCAAATCTAGCGATAATTACAAACACACTGTTTTGAATGCAGCCACCATATCTTAACCTCACTGCCACAGGAACTACATCCTGGGCGTGAGGGGAGCTGCCAGGCGCCAAAAGGTGCCCCACTGTGGAGATGAGGGGGTAGCACTTGCTAGCTCAGAGACACCTGTCCTTATGATAAGTGCTCCTACACACAAGGGTATATGGTGGTGAGTTCTTCCTGATCCCAATTCTGCCAATCATTTACATATTCAATGAGATTCTACAAGTTCCTACAAAATCTGTGGTGCTAGAGGGCCAACAGTGAGATCCTAACTCCCAACCCTCCATTCCCAACACCACACCCCCAGATATGATCCAGACTTAGGGGGAGGGGCAGACTCCCCAGAACCATGTTGCCAGGCAATACCTGGACATGAACCCCAGTAACATGCAGGAGGATGCCTTTTAGTAGGTGCCCCCAGTACAGTGTGGTCCAACAGGCATACAACCTCTTGACATTGCACTGTTATATCATATACAAGCGCACTGGGTCACACAGCTTTCCTGGGACACGTGTAGCCTACTGATCACCCTTGGAGATGCAGTAGAGTGAGGACACATGCTGTCTGTCACATTCTAAGCTAACAGGAACTACTTATGATGCTGGTGTTCTTACTGGTAGAGCCCTCTGCCCTCTCCTTTACCTGTTCCAAACTGAAATCTGATGGGACAGTATGGGAGGGGAGTGAGAAAGCCTCTTTCCCAAAGGCTCTGAGAGGTCAAAAGGCTGTGACAGCAACAAATTGGCTTGGGGTAGGCGAGCAACACAGGTGGCCCAGTGCCTGAGCTGCCCTGACAGCTACTCGGATGGGCACACTTGTTTTTGGATGCTGTTTCTCAGTGTCACAACCCTTCAGAGTGATCTAGAGAAGAGCTGCATTTTCTGCTGAGAAACAGCAGCCCTGGGAGGTAGACAGAAGTCTGTGGCCTAGCAGGTGGCGGCTGAGAGGCGGGGACCCAGATATCACAATGATGACATCACATCTTTCTCACCAAATCCAGGTGTTTCTCCAGTGCCAACTCTCTAGTGCCCCTTCCTTTACACTGGGCAAACCCCAAACCAGCTTAGCTCAACTAGGACGACTTCACCATGTGACATGCACAAACTTCCAGGACATCATAGTCACCGCCTATTGATACTCAGCCATTGAAGGCTGCACAGATAAAACACATGTGTGTGTGTGTGTGCACATGTACACACACACACACACACACCTTTGAGGAACAAATAAATCCACAGTCTGGAAAGCCTCATGCACAGTGTTCCCTTCCAGTAGAAGCCTGATGCACACACGAAACAGAAATGCTCTGAAGGGAGAGGTCAGCTCTGTTAAATAGGACATGCTTCTCTCAGGAAGTTCCTGCTGAGAACCCAACTGTAGGTAGGGGCATACCTCTGCACAGCACATGCTGTGCACTTGCATCCCTGGACTTGATGTCCAACAACCAAAACCAAAACAGAAACCTCACAGAACCCAAAAACAACAACAAAAACCCTCTTATCACTAAGTTGGAGATTTAAATTCTGTGCCTAATTTTCTCTAAGCCCATGACCCTAGATGATCTGGCTTATTTGGTGCATTAAAAATGCTAAAGCTAGACGGGCGTTGGTGGCGCAAGCCTTTAATCCCAGCACGTGGGAGGCAGGCAGATCTCTGTGAGTTCGAGGCCAGTCTGGTCTACAGAGCAAGTTCCAGGACAGCCTCCAAAACAATACAGAAAAACCCTGTCTCGAAAAACCAAAGGTAAAAAACAAAACAAAATGCTAAAGCTGCAGACATAGCAAATGTTTGTCCCATACACAGAAACTATAGCTTATTTATTTATTTATTTATTTATTTATTTATTTATTTATTTATTGGGCAGGGTCTCTCTGTGTAGCCCTGGTTAGTCTGGAACTCACTCTGTAGACCAGGCCCTGGAACTTACAGAGATCTGTCTGCCAATGCCTCCCATGTGCTGGGATTAAAGGTGTGTACCATGTTTTCCACTGAAACTGTATCTTTTAAAACAGTGCCTACCAAGTTGCTAAAATAAAAAATAAAAACAGAGACCCTCTCCCTTCTGCCACCAAAAGCAGACAATCAACAGGCCACACTCTTAGGTGCAATGCCACAAAGTAGGACAAACATCAGTCACCAAGAACATCACCTTCCCACACAGAGGCTACATGAGTAAACGGGGGAAGGGATGCCATTGTAGTTAAGATGTATTTATGTCCAAAGAAACATTTCAATCGATGTTTTAATAGAATAGTTTCAAACAGTATTACAAAGCCACAAATAATCATAACATTTAAAAAATGCACAGGGGCCCTAGGCACGGAAGACTAAGATATCCCTTCTCTCACTACACATCAGATTATTCATCTTTTAACCTCTATGAAGACAGTTATAAATTCCTTTTTTTGTATGCTTGTTCACCTTGTTATTATTGTTTGCTCATTTTAATTTTTAAAGAGAGGGTCTTACTGTGTAGCACTGGCTGGTCTGAAACTCTGTGTGTGTAGCTCAAGCTGGCCTTTATCTTACAGAGATCGTACTGCCTTTACCTCGTGAGTACAGAGATCAAAGGAATGTGTCACTGTTTTTGAGACAAGCTTCTACGTAGCCCAGGCTAGCCTTACACTTATCATATATTTTGATTCTCCTGCCTCTAGCTCCTCAATGCTGGGGTTATAAGCATGCACCACCACATTTGCTTATGTGGTGCTAAGGATCAAAACAAGGGTCTTGTGCATGCTGGGCAAGCACTACACCAACCGAGCTGCAGCTGCTGTGTTCCTTATATTCCTGCATGAACATCAGTTTCATTAACAGGTCCATGGCTGTCTTGTTCATGAATGACACAGTAGCCCCCAGCGGCTACACAGTAAGCATAAATCAAATGAATGAATTATATACTCACTATATATGTGTTGGCTAAATACTGTCTCTAAATCTAGTGAGACATTATACAGACATTTTAAATGAAGCAAAAGTACATTTTGTTCACATGAAAATATTTTCCTCAACCTAATGGTTAATAAAGCAAATTATGAAAAGGCTATTTAGAAGAAAGGTATTTTCTCTCATCTTCTTTCCACCCTTTAAACACAAACACACACACAACTTTTAGGTCTCTGTTTATAGGCTTGACAAGCATCAGTTAAAAAGAATGACTTCAGCTTTCAGTACATAGGAGACTGAGGCAGGAATATAAAGAATTCAAGGATAGCCTCTGCTACATAGCAAGACCCAGGCACACATGAACTACATAGTAGGGTCCTGCCCTACTAACAAAACGCTGTGAGTCTGGGGTGTTTCCATACATGTTTAAGATGTGGGAAAAGAAACACTTTGCTTTCTATTGTCATTTTATTCATCACCAGGCCCACTGTCTCTGCATTTTTATATGGTCGGTAAGGAATGCTAATCTTCTGTTTCTCGGGGCCATCCCCACCATGGCTGGCGATGAGACTCTCGCCTACCACGTAGTCAAACTTATCTGAAAACAGCTAGAAGACAGCAGGCCAGTCTTACTAGTTAGTTTATAACCAGTCAGTAAGACCATTTCTAAAGCAATACCCCCTCCTTTGGAATAGCACCAAAGCAGCTTGCCATAAGGAAATGACATTCCGAGGAAACAGACACACTCAGAAACGAAACATGGTTCCATCCAGCTGCCTGGCTTTCCAAGCCCCAAAAATGCATTTACTATTTCACCACAAAACAATCTACCCAACCCCCTGCTAGTCTGAAGTGCAACCAAAGACAGCATTTACAATATTCCAGTCTGGAAGTTCCATGAACCCTCCTTACCTGTGATGACAACGTCTTGTTCCTGACCTTCACTTGCCACAAAAGTCAGTTCCACGGGGAAGACGGGGCCTTGAACTTCAGCCTTGGCTGTAGGACATTAAGGAAGGAACCAGTTACGATATGTTCTCTGGATCCCCCCCAACTCTCCACCACCTTGGGAAAGTCACTGTGACCCTGCTGCCTGAAATCACTACAGTGTTCCAGGGTCGACCAAGAAAGTTCTGAGTTTCTCCCCCAAGAAGTGCTAGGAAGGGACTGTTCCGGTTTCCTCAGGGGAAAGGAGCGGGACAGAGTTGCGGTGGACGAGCAAACGCCAATAGTAGCAGAGTGCCCCTCAAAGGCTAAGTAAAACATTCTAACACCGTGGGATTTATTAGAATCTTAACTTCAGAGAAACACCTTTCCTTAACTTAAAACGAAAAAGTTTGGAGAAAGGAGGGGTGCGGTGGTTCTGGGTTAGTTGGAGTGGGCACTGGGGCAGAGTCACCCTCCCAGTTAGCACACTGGCACTCCCGGCTCCCTTCATCCCAAGCAGGCTGGCACAAAGGAGACTTAAGTTGTCCCCCACAGGACCGGCTGTGGCACTGGACTCTGGAGAGGCAGAGATATAGGGTGGCTTTGGCAGAGTCTCTACCCTACTGCCGGGGCCTGCCCCACCTCTCCCCATTCTGGTCAGGCATTCTGTGGGAACTGGTGCTCAAAGAGGGTCGGCTGCTGGAGACACGAACCCACGGGCGTTTCTCCAGATCCACAGGAGTGGCCGGGCTCAGTGATCCCAGAATCAGTCTGTCCGGTCCTCAGGTTACTTCGCCTCTGAGATCCCTGAGGGTCTCAGGAAACGCCCACCGGTGGGTGACGCCCAAAAGAACCGAGTCGTGGGAAGGGCGCGCCCCGATGTCCCCGCCCGTGGGCCCTCCCCTCCAGGGGACAACCAGAGGACCCAGCGTCGCTCCAATTCAAGGACTCCGCAAAGCCCCCGGCCCCACTACCAGCTGCGAACACCAGAGTTCGGAGCCGGCGTTCAGCACTCCCGAGGACCCGAAGTAGCGGACAGTCCCGCAGGCCCCGAGAGTCGCACGCGTTCCCAGCTCGTGCCCTCGCCGGTGCCTATGGGTCTCCAGACCCGCGCCCCTGGTTCGCGCGCATGCGCCTCTGAGCCCCACCTCTCTGTCCACCCACTTCACTGTCCCGGGACAGGGGACGCCCGGCTCCCGCCCCCGCGCGTGCCCTCCCGCCCCCGGGCACCTGAGGCTGCGCTCCGCTTGCGGGTCCGCGGGGCCGGCGCTCCCGGGGAGGCGGCGCCAGGCGGGGCGCCAGCGTCTGCCTCCGCCCCCGTCACCCCTGTCGTGGGGCCGCCGCGTCCCGGGCCCGGCCGGGCACCGCCTCCGTGCACCCGTGCCAGCCGCGCCCCCACGACACGCGCCGCCCCTCGGACGTCCCCTGCGGGGTCCCGCGGCGAGGTGACCGCCCCGGAAACCCCGCCCCCTAGGCCCGGGCTGCAGTTCAGGACGAGACACACCCCCCCAGATGACAGCTTCTGATTGGCTTTTGTGGGGCGGGGCGGGGCCGAAGAGGCCCGGGGCAGCTCTCCCTGGCGCCCGTTTAGTGCCTGGGGGCCCGGGCATCCATTGGTAAACTGAGGCTGGCTAGGTGTACAGCCTGCCCAAGGTCACCCGACGGGCGAGAAAGCCCTGCGGAAAGGGTACACCCCGACGCGGGCGCTCTCCAGCTCCCAGCCCCGCGCACCAGCCGGGATTGAAGTTCAAGGCTGCCAGTCGGGTACAGCTTCCCACCCTGTGCCCTCGGTGACCTGGCCTAGACCGCCCAGCGCACCCCCAGAGTCCCGGGAGTTCGTGGGGGTGGCGGGCAGGAGGGAACTGAAATTCAGGGCCCAGGATGCGAAATGGGGAGAAAGGAAGAGCGAGCCGGGGCATGCGCCAACAGGTGGTGGAGGTGCCAGGGTGGGTGTGGCGGGCGGGGAACTGGGAGGCTGAAGGGCATTGGGGACGGTCGCGGGAAGGTGCCACCACTCCGACCCTCCGCCCCCGCCCTGCCCCGGGCTGCGCCCCCTCTGCGTACACTGGGGGATTAAGGGGTTGACTCTACCCAGATGAGGCACTGGGGTTCTGCCAACTGTCAGCACCGGGGAGAGGGGGGAGTCCGCGGCCCAGCACAGCCCCTGAATCTCCGTTTACGGAATGCACACGGCCCCCAGGGTGCCAACGCATCAAGATGCCGCTCCTTTGGGAACGTAATGTGTGCTATGCCAGCCCTCCTCTCTGTCCTCACGCTACGCCTGCCACTATGCTATTTGTGGCGATGAGAGCCAGGGAGAACCGACTGGGGAAAGGAAACTTTAAGCGCACATCTCTGGGAACTGGGGACCTGACCAAACTGGCACATTCGGGAATTTATTTTAAACCCACCCTCGTTGATTAGCCTCATACCTGTGGTGAACTTTGCCCCACCCTCCAGACACCCACAGAACATTCCCTACTTTACTGGCAAGCCCTCCTTTTCCTGCTCACGCTGGCCAGAAGATCCTTGTATAATGCTTCAAAGCTTGCAAAACTGGGACCCTGGAGATGGCCAAATGGGTAAGGTGTGTGTGTGTGTGTGTGTGTGTGTGTGTGTGTGTGTGTGTGTGTGTGTGTGTAGAGCTTGCAAAGTGACCTGCCTGGATGATTATGGTTTTCTGAATGACCCAGGAGACAGGCAGGGACAGCATTAAGCCATTGTCCGGCCAGTGGCAGCATGGTGCTAGGTTATAACAGTGAACAAGGATGGCTGGAGCTGCTCTCAGGGCTGCATCTCTGGAGGGCATCCTCCCTAGTGTGTCAGGTGGCTGGGTGGCCATCGGAAAGAGAGATCTTGGTTACCTGGTGTACCACATGCAAGGGCTGTTGCCTCTTTTTCTTTTTTCTTTCAGAATGGTTAGGAATGAGAACTAAGGAAGGGTGAGGGACCAGCAAAGTCGCTGTGAACAGAGAACACAAACAATAGTTGGGGTTTGAAAAGAAAACTTTTTTTACCATCATGTTCAGTCATCTTTAAGCCATGACTTCTATCCAGCCTCCCTTAGACATCTTGAAAAGCTCTTCTTCAAATGGTCCTCTGTCACTTGCCCCAGAAGACAGTGAGTTTTGTTAGGGAGACTGCTTTCAGAGGAGAGATGCAAGGACTTGTCCTACACCCACCATGAGAGAAGCTGCCTCAGAGGGTGCATGCCTGGCTCTGGGATGCCTCTGCATCCTCTCTCCCTGCTTCCTAAGGTGTTGACAGGTGTGGATACACAGAGCAGAGGCATTGTCTGTGCAGTGCGCAGTGGACCCCTGTAGTTCTGGGGACTAATCAATGCTCTTGTGTCCCCTAGTTGGCACGTTAGCAACCCTGCTGGGAGTTTCTGGGCATGAATCTTAGTTCACTCTGGGGTGTCTTTTGAGATTGCACGATGATGTGACCTGCAAATGTGTTGGGCCACATGTATAGCTATCCTGGGACAGATGTGACCCACAGGCTTCAGGTTGGACACACTGGTCCCTTGTGTGTCCACATTTCCTGACCAGCTGCAGCCCCAGGAGAGAGAGCCAGTCCATGACACCCTGATGCACACACCCACCTAAAGGTGGAAGGAAGACTACCTGTGGGGAGTTTCCTGCAGTGAGCATTCGGACAGTAGGTTAGAGCCCAGTGCAAGGAGAATGGGAGTCCCACTACCTTCCCTGCCTCCAGCAATTAGAGATTCTCCCGTGGGTCTGGGGTCCAGGCACATCTGTGCTTACCTTGCAACTTATGTAAGTCCCTTCCTGAAACCACCCAAGGCCTCTGAGGGTCACTGGCTTGCCCTCTGCTGATCTGCAAAGCCCTCCTATCATATGTCATCTGCCAGGACAGTGGCCTCTGATCTCCTGGAAGTCTGCCTTCAATCAGGTGGTGGAAGTCCACTAGGGCAGAAGAAACAGGTATTTGCTGATGGAAAATAGGAAGCTGCTGGGGGCCAGAGGTGGACTTCAGTAAAGACCAACCCTGACATGTCCTTGGATGCCACCCTAGGACTAGTACTCACCATCCAGGAAACAAAGTGTGCTCACCTTAGACACGAGACTCGCAGTAGCCCTGGAAGGCAGTTCCACCTACTCCCATTTCACAGATGAGGAAATCAAGGGCAGAAGCCACCCAGAGGGAGTGGGGATGCTCCCAGACCTCATATCCATTCTGCAATCTGCACTTATCTGGTACAGAGGCCACCTGCTGGCTTTGACTCATCTGGCTCTGGCTGACACGGGATCCTGGTGCTCTGGACAGCCAACCATGGCCCCAAGACTCTTGGGGTTGAGATCAGACAATTCAAAAGCCATGGCAAGAAGGGGAGACAGGCTTATGGAGGGAGAGTGTGTGAGTGATCTAAGGTGGGTAGAGGAAGGGCCTGGTAGCTGGGGAGGGGGAGGGTGGTATGGAGATCTGGCGTTTGTCCTGAGGTCTATGGGAAGCTTGCCATCGATGATTTTAAGCGGGGATGCAATCCCATCCGAACAGATGAGAAGAGAGCTATGTCAACTACTGGTGGTTACCCAGGCAGTGGGGGTGCGTAAAGCTATAAACTCGCTGGAGGTCTGCAGGATCTGGAACCTTCTGCCCAAAGACTGCTTCATCATGGACACTATGCCCTTTTTGATAATTAACCCGTCTCCAGCCTAAGTTTACAGGTTTGCCTTTGCTCATCATGGGTCAGAAGTCTGTCTTTGTAGGTCTTGGAAGGTCAAAGCAGCCTGTCCACAGTAACTCTGCTCTTTGCCCCTCTCTCCTCCCATCCCAGTGCACACAGACACTCTCCTGGTGGACACATGTGACTATATCCCCAGTGGGCTATGTCTTAGGGCACTGGGTCATAGGTGCCTTTTATCCAGTGCAGAGCACAGGCTTGCAGACTGGCCCACTGTGTACTGGGAGAATCTCGGTGCAGAGTCAAGTAGACGGATTCAATTCCCAAAGGATATTTGTTCTGACCTGGACTGGAGGTAGGACCATGAGCTACATTGCTGTGAGTGGACAAGGGTCAGGGGAACAGCGATGAGGCATAGTGTGTGAGTCACAAATGCATGCCAAGTGTGGTAGCCCATGCCATTGACCCCAGGACTTGGCAGGCAGAGGAAGGTGTATTTCTGTGAATTTGAGGCTAGCCTGGTCCACAAGCAAGTTTCAGGACAGCCAGGGCTGCATAATAGGAGAGACCCAGTTTCAAACAAACAAACAAAATGTATTTTCTTTGTTCCTAAAAACCTGTGGTCAAATTCAGTCTGAAAATACTAAATGGAAATAAACATTTCACATATTTTTAAATAACATTTATTATGGTGCATTTTTTTGTTTTTACGAGACAGGGTTTCTCTGTATTGTTTTGGAGGCTGCCTCTGCCTCCCGAGTGCTGGGATTAAAGGCGTGCACCACCACCGCCTGGCTATTATGGTGCATTACTAGTTATTCTGTTTGGTTGCTAATCTCTTACTGTGACTGCTAGATGAATTAAACTTTATCCTGGGCCTGAATGACTAGGAAAATCGGAGTTTTTTGGTTTGTTTTTTTTTTTTTTTTTTTTAGGTTTTCTCTCTAAGTTCTGGTACAGAGTTTCAACATCTAGTGGGGGCTTGGGAGTACACATAGTGCCTCTGCTGGGGATGCTCTCCCCTCAGTCCCCCTTCGTGCGAAGTCTGCTCTACCCATTAGTCACTCTGTAACTTTGACATTGGACTTGACTCCCACAGAACCTCCCCCCAATGTAGCAAGCAGGGCCGTTGTGTCTCCCCAGGGTCCTGGTGCGAGAATGAGGAAGGCGCTTATATGAGCCCTCTGAGAGGCAAGTCACAGTCTTAATGTGGTGACCACGAGCCTGAGGGTTGTTCCTCCTCTAGGAGGCTTTTTGGCGTCCATCTCATGGCTGAGCCGCCCTCTGTTCCAGCCCCCTCCTTCCATACACCACGCAGCTAGCTCAGGTCCCCACTCTCTGGCAGTTTCCAGTTGCCCTGTGTGGCTACCATTCAGCATAGATGACAGGAAGCCATCGCTCCTGGTGACACCATGGCTGCATGCCTCCTCCTGCGGCCTTCCCCCCCACTCTGTTAC